TTAAAGCCTCCTTAAAGGAAGACAATGACTTATGACGTCACAGTAGATGTTGCTTCTCATTGGTCTAAAGAAAAAAGCATGAAGCCTCATCAAAAATGTGCATAAACACACTACAAACACTCTGTAGTGTAAACCTAGGATTATGGCTACAGCATAGAGTACCTTGGCACTGACCTGGCATTGAGCGCAGTGAAAAACCCTTCTCGGTAAGGCGATTATGCAAAAAGAATTACAGGTAATGCAGGAACATAAAAATTTCAAAGCCAAAGATAAAGAAAAAAGTGCAATTAAAAACAATGCTGCAAATAACACTACAAACTGCTTTGTCTAGCCTTATTAAAAATACCATAAAGAGCTTTATGCAAACAAAAATATTCTGGCCTGGATAAACTGAGATCACATCTGCATTGCTGGTTTGTACAATAAATACAATTCTTGTGTATTTTTATCCCATTCTTCATCCACTGTGTTTCTATGGTGACACAGCCTCTGTACAAATGTCTCTGCAAACAATTTTTTTTCATGTTTTAACCTCTCTCACTTTATTTTTCTCACATCTAAAAATAAGTAAATCAAAGTCAATCTTATAAATCCAGCAAATCTATGTAGTTACACATGTAAACACTCTCTGCTAACTTCTAATGTTCTTTCTGTTGCTGGGGTCCAGGATGCAAGTATACAATAATTTCTAGATGCAAAGTATACCTTTACCAGAAGAGAATCTCTGTTGTTTCATAGTATTATGCTAAGGGACCTATAGTCAGTATCTGGGAATTAAGACAAATGAGGTTCTTTGAAGTCCTAATGGTCCAAGAAATGCATGCTTTATAAAATAAACCTTTCCCAGAATTATTAAACTAGATCAGCAGTCTGCAGATCAGATAAGGGAAGATTTGCTCAGCTGTACCCTGGCCGAATGTCACTCACACAGCATTCTCATCACTAGGTAGAGCCGTGGAGCATAGGAATTTCCAATGCTTCTTGGTTCCATCTAGTGAATAGTGAATGATTTTCAGCCAGTACATGGTTGGGCTGATGATTTATAAATTATCCCCCATAGTATCATATTACTGACAGGCAATGAGTTGGGGAGGAATAAGGGAAGTGTTCACACTTCAGCTATGTGTCAGGAGAATGAGATGGCAGTAAAATAATTTCAGAATCTAAATAGACACGTGGTTTTTTTCATTCTGAAAATTGGGATGAATATCGGCAAATTCGGACATTCGGATGCATTCGAATTTCCAAATGAAAGCAATAACAAATCCAAATGTATCCAAATTTTCTGATAACGAAATTGGGATGCATCCAAAACTTTTTCCCGAATGTTATTAGGAATGAACTTTTGTTCTTAAACTTTAAAATAGAAAAAAAACCCAGCATGGAGTCCCCGCCCAATTCATACCAGACCCTTTACCCCACACTTTTGTTTTGTTTTATTTGGGTTGGGGTCCCCCCGAAAATTCCTTACCGGACCATTGATCCAAGCAGCAGCCTCGCAGATCAGGGAAGGGTGACGGCGAGTGTGCGCTTGTCTCTCCTGCACCATACCAGGCTACATGCCCTCAACATGTGGAGGGTACTCTTCCGCACAACCCTGGACTGTGTTAAAGGAGCCTAAAGCAGACATCTCATGGTACCTGCTCTCAGATACTATTACATATTTAATAACTGCCAAATTTGCTTAATATATACCTTATTCATACATGTAGACATTGGTCAGTATAACTGCTTAAAATATAATTTTTTTACGAGAACATTCCTATGATTTGTCAAAAAAATACAGTATATGAAAAAATTATTTGTGGATGATGTGTTCAAGTAAATTCTGAGCAGTACATTGTAGAGCTATTTTTTTTTCATCTTATGGTCTATAAATAAATAATTTTTTCTTTAGAGGTTCTTTCCTTGAACTTATGTCTGCCCGTATTTCACCCTGCACTATTTCTCTTAATGACCCATCATTAACAGGAAAACCTGCTGATATTTTGCTGAGAACCAGCTAGTTACCAATGCGATCTTCTCTCTTATTTTAAAACTAATAGCCGCCTTGTCAGTTTGCTATATTTACTAGCAAGGCTGTTGTTGAAGTTTTTGCCAAGAACATGATGACATGATCAAGGCTAAGTGTACAGTGCCCCTCGCTTTTCCTGCCCTCAGACCTCAGACCTTATTGCATGATTTATACTAGTAAAGTAAAAAAGGGTGTGTAGACATAAGGAGCTAAATCTACACCAACAGTCTGTACACATGATATTCTGAATGAAAATCAATCATTCTACCTTAAGAGGGCAAGAACAGAAGCATAGAAAAAAACAAAGAGAAGGTAGAAATCATTTCTTATCAAGAGATTTGATTTATCAGCAGTAGTAAACATGAAAACATGTAAATGATCTATGGTTATTTACATAACATTAAAGCAGAACTCCAGCAAAAATAGCCATTTAAATATAAAATAACATAGAACAGCTCTTGCTGTAATATTCACCTTCAACACAGAGATGTTTCTACCTCAGAGATGTCCTCAGTCTGATGCCCAGCATCATTAAACTCACTTTTTTTAATGAAATAATCTATGGTTATAGTGACGAGCTCATCAATCTGTAACTCTGCTTTCTCTTCCTGTCATCGTTCTTCTTGTCATTAAAATTATGTTTTAATTGGTCGAGATATTTATGTTTTATGGTCAAACACTTACTAGGATTAATTAGAAGGCAAATACACACAAAACTACTGGAGAAATAAAGCATTTTTTTAAATTAACCCTTACTTTGGGGCTACCCCTGCACTGCAAGGTTAACTGCTTGTTTGTGTCTAGATTAAAAAACCCAAAGATATACTCTGCCAAAGCTCCGAGCCGGCTTCTTCTTAGACTGGTCCCCGGAATGTTTCTCCCCTCTTCCGCAGCGGTCTTCACGTCTTTAAACTCTGCTTGCATGGGAGGATGTTGAGGGACATTCTAATGTGCTGCAGAGGAGGAGGCTAGAAGGAGCGGAATGACAGCTGGCCGGCTCGGAGCTTTGGGTGAGTATATCTTTGTTCTTTTAACAAATAGACACAAAAGAGCACTACACCCTTGCAATGCAGGGGTAGACCCACTGCAAGGGTTAATAAAAAAAACCTGGAGTTCTTCTTTAAACAACCCAAAAAGGTATTTTTTTGTGTGTGAGATTCTATTGATAATACATGTTCTTCAGTTCCTGGGTCTGCACAACAAAACCATGTGATTACTATGCAGATCAATGGCTTTGTTTCTCAACACAGCCATGTGAGCATGCGTCAAGTGTGCCATGGTGATCACATGTCATTGTTAAGTTTACTAACGTTGCCCAGCAGTGCTGAATGCTGCTCTTCCCTACTGATATGTTGCTTAGGGCTTGCCGAGGGACTAATGTCATGGGAGGTTTAAAACCGTATCTCTGTCTACTAACAATGGTCACTGTCTGGGAACTGATGTGATTGGTTTCTAGCCCCTTCCTAATGATCACAGCTCATAGAAGCATGGAACACAACCATGAACAGCAGTGGACGTCTGCCACTAACTGTATGTGAGCACATACAATTGTACTTTTCATTAAATCTGAACTCTGTATTCATTCATAGATCATATCATACATCATATCATACATCATCATTTACAGGTACTCTTAAAACAGGATCACACAGGGACTCGTATACACGCAGACACATGCACAGTTACACACAGACACACAAAGGTTGAACTTGATGGACCTGTGTCTTTATTCACCTCAAATACTATGTAACTATAAAAAGTTTTTCTTTTAAATGCATGCAGTGAAAGTACTGAATTTGAACCTGATATCAGCCTTTGAGAATCTCTGTAAAGGAGAGTTCAGACTGGGAAAGGGGGAAGCTTTTTGGAGGAGAGAGCAGAGTGATTGAGAATTAAGTTAATCAATCTGCTGCTTCTCATTTTACCGTCCAGTCACAGACTAGGGGAGGGACAAAACCTGCAATTGTTATTTAGCAGGAAACATGGCAGAACTGTGTGAGTCTCAGGACTGGATGGATACAAATACAAATCAGGTGTCAGGTGAAACAGCTCTCTTAAATATATTTAATTTGTGTATTCAGCAGCTTGCCTAGAGTGCAGCTTTAAGGCTAGGTTCACACCAGATGCAGTGTGTTATGGCCCGATTCTGTCCAGAACGCACTGCATCGCACTGCGATCGGCTCAATTTTTTGCGGGGCAGGAGGGGGCGTGGCGTGCCATTCACTTCAATGGCCCGCCACCCCCTCCTCCCCCACAAAAAAAGTGAGCCGGCCGCAATGCTCTGCAGTGCGTTCTGGCCAAAATCGGGCCGGAACGCACTGCATCTGGCGTGAACCTAGCCTAAAGTAGAACTCAGAAATGTAATTAACCTTTGCAGTGGGGCTACCCCCGCATTACAAGGGTTAACTGCTTGTTTTTGCCTAGGGTAAAAAAAGAAAAAGTTGTAGTCTCCTGAGTTTTTAAGCTGGCCGGCCCTGAGACCAGTCCCTTGAGTGCCTCTCCTTTCCGCTGCAGCGGTCTAGGAGTCCTCGAGTCATCACGTCCAATACAGTATATTGGACGTGAGGACTCCGTGGGACATATCATTGCTACAGAGTGGGAGAGAGGCTGGAGGGAGCGCTGATAGCTCGGAGGATCAGGTGAGTATAATTTTTTTTACCCTTGCAGTGTTGGGGTAGCCCAGCAATTTCCAATACAATTTCTGTCCAGAGTTCTTTAACATATGACTTACCTTGATACCGCAAGAACAAATTCATTAAAGGATATATCAGCTTTGGTTGGAAGTGGTAAATAAGATTAGCAATGAATGGGAACACAGAATGCAAGTTTGTTTTATGGCTGTGAGAGGCCTTAGATTGGAAACCTTTCATTTTTATACTCGTTATTCCATAGCACAATTCAAGTGACAAAAACAATTTCCTGTCAGCCCTAATATTAGTGTATTACAACTGAATGCACTAACCATGTAATTTATTTTATTTCATAGTCTTGGGTGGACACAGATAGAAGATGAAGAATTTTTAGAACTTTATAAATGTCTCCCACACAATCGCTCTTTGACAGGATTATGGTAAGTAAGAGAACGCACACTTTAATTGAGGTACCATTAAAAATGTCCACTTTCAGAAGCCTATTGAAGTCACTGAATATTGTTTGCAACATGTTCTAAATCAGATCCCGGCCACCACTGAATATGTACTATGAATAAAACATCCCCTATGTCTAAACATAATGTGGCCCTGCCTGTGGAATATGCTTGTGCATGTCAAACAGGCCCTTTCAGAATATTCCCCCTTTCCTCTAACACCTTATGTGGATTTTATGCAGATCGCTCCATCGCAATACAATAGAGATGTTACCAGCGAGCATATACATACATTATTGATGAAACAGACTTGCAACATCTTTCTTTACAGAAATCCATTCTCGGGAGTGCGTCTTGCATAATAAAATGTATTAGGCAGCCTGCTTTGTATGGAGCACGAGCAGTGAGATGCTCAATGAAGTTCACCTATTGTTTTGGCTAGTGTTTACCTTACGCAGCGTGTGTTTTGTAAGTCCGTGAACTATAGGAAACACACCATTAAGATGTAAAATTTAGCTTATGCGCAGACGTGTCTTTTTTATCTTTTATCAAATAAGCTTGTTGCATCTTTCACCCTATACAGAATCCAAATCAAAGTCATTTAGAGATATTGGAACCCAGTGGATGAATATGTCAACTCAAACATAAGTAAAGTTAGTTCCAGATAGACATAAACAGAGCTGTAATTTTAATGAGGCAGTCTAAGGGTTTTGCCTCAGGTGGCATCTCTTTGGGTCATGTAAGGAGGCAGCAGGCAGAGCGACGTGGCAGCTCTGCCTCACAATGTTTGCAGTGTGCATGCTGCCCCCATTCCATCCAGAGCATCCCAGGTTGCTAAGAGCCATGTGGGGAGATCAGGCCCGTCTTTAATATTGATCGGACCCTGGGCAAACATTTTCTTGGGCCCCCTCGGGGCCCCCCACCAAGAATTTTTTTTTTTTTAAATGACAACATGATTGTATATCTCCCTGAAAATCTCACTCCATTTCTGTTCTGTCCTTCAATATATGTGAATAACATGATTGATAGAATTACAATGCATGATAGTAGAAAGCCATGATTAGACATAATTAACCTGAACAACCTCCCTCTCCTGAAGAATATATACCACATCCATTACAACGCCCCTAAGCGCAAAACGCAGAGAAAACTAGGCTCCTCCTCTGTTAAACCTTCAAAAACGCTGTATCATGTCAAATTACAAACAATCATGTCTCTGTTAAGTCTGATTATCTAATCATGTTAATTATGTCTAATCATGGCTTTCTACTATCATGCATTGTAATTCTATCAATCATGTTATTCACATATATATGAAGGACAGAACAGAAATGGAGTGAGCTTTTCAGGGAGATATACAAATTGTATATCTCCTTTATATTTCTCCTTTTTTATTTTCTCACCTATCTGCCTCAGTCAGTCCTCGCCCCGTGCCAGTCTGCCTCTTTCCGGATGTCCTGGACGTGAGTGAGGCACCCGTCTGCACAGCCTCACGTCCTCCAGGGAAGCCCGTGACATGTCATGCTATGCGGGCGGGGGCCGGGGGAGGAGCTACCTTTAGGATGCGATCGTGCAGATCGCATAGGACAATACGTTATGGCA